TGAAAAAAAAAAAAAAAAGAAAAAAAAAAGGAACGAATTTATTTTTCCGATTGATAATTGGTCGCGCAACCGGCTATCTCACTACCGCCAGTTATCCTTAACGATTTAACAACCCACTCCCTTGCATCGTTACCCAGCGAAGCAATAATACCCTTGTATTATCGTTCACGATCTCTCCTTTCTCCCAAAAACCGTTCATCACGTTCACGTTGATCTGCACTTGCGCGGCGCAGCATTGGCTCGGAGCTGTGGCAAAGATTCTGCGAGCGAGGCAAAGTGTTTATTAGTGTTCCAACGCGTGGCTTCGATTCCGGTTTATTTGCCTGTCCGACGATTCTTCTGTCGTCCTCGTCGAAATCGCGCGCGAACGCGCTACTTAATGCCTTCTCCTTGAAACCTAACCTTGCCAGTCGATCCGCAAATAACGCGAATTCCCACCCCGTGGAAGTCAACTGCGCCGCGGAAACATCGATCGCGTATCGTTTTTCCGGAACGTAAGAAAGAACTGCATCTCCTTTCAATCATCTCCCATCTTCTTTCCCCTTCTATACTCTCTGTCTCCTTTCTTTTATACATTTCTTATTAGCGATAACGTGACCACGTGTATATATATGTACGTATAAACGAGGAAGAGTGCGTGTGTGTGTACGATTCGGGTTTGTTTTCCGTTCGCTGGTGCTTCGTGCAATCGTCGCGAGACAAGGAGTCGAGCAGAAAACGGGACACAAACGCGTTGTTTCGACAGCCATTTTTATTTTCTTCTTTTTTTTTTTGTTTTTCTTCTCTCTCTCTGATCGTCGGGACGAATGATGGACCGCGGGACTTGTCCGAGTACCGGGAATCACGCGGTATCCAAAGTATTAAGCGAGCCTATAAGTGTTATGTAATATATACATAGTGCACATATGCAAGGAATATACATATATACATATACATATGATATATATATTTTTCAAATTAACGTATTTTTCGATATCGTGAGAGTATAAGACGAACGGTCTCTGTGCGCGCATGCGCGCTCGCGCATGATGTGTGTGCAACGCTTTTGTGTCATACATAAAGAAAGGGCATAACGCGATCCTTTATTTGATCGATTACCGCACCGAAGAAATCGAATCTGCCGGAGAGGAGAGAAAGCTGTAGAGAACGCGCACTAATCGAAGGGATTTCTCTTTTCGAAATTTCTGGCGAACGCCGGACGCGTCGGCCGAACGCCGCCATGCGGATCGCTGCGATTCGTGGATAACGATGAAAAACCAAAGCGACGAATCGCCACAAAGACCGCGACCGATTCGCTGTGACGATGTTTCTGTTAATATTTATTAGACGTGAAGGGGATAAGATCCTTCGAATCGCTGGGTCGGCGCGTGCGTCGACGCCTCCCGCCGTACGTCAGTGTGATAAGCCACGAAAAAGTTAACCTAAAACCACTATATTTGTAAAGCATACCTTTATTTATTATTATTAACGGAGTCTGTACGGAGCCGCGTAAAATAGTATCTCCAGCGAAGAAAGGTAGAAACGTAACGCGTTAGGTAAATCTCGACACACGTTTCCTTGATTTCCCTGTCGGAGATACTATTTTTACGCGTTCCGTCTATGTCACGGGAAACAACTGCGCCAACGATAAATAATTGAGACGAATGAACGATACAGCGTGTTATTTACTATCAGACGCGGCGATCGCACTACTTTCTGTGGCGTTTATAATGTCGAAGAAATTATGGACCGCGGAGGCTCAAAATTATGATAGCTCGATTTATGTTCGAAAACACATCTCTGAGCAGATCAAACGTGTTATAGATCTGCGGCATACACGTGTTTCTTAAGGTATCTAAGACACATCACAAGACTGTATTAATCGTGATCGGCGTTATTCGCGGAAGGATCTCGTATCTGTGTTTATCCCCC